TACAAAAGACTATCGTCTAATAACAGCTCCAGTGACACAGATGGTAAAGTACGTGTTGAAGTCTTTTTTGACGCGATCGACCGGGGTTTGAATCGCATTTTGCCGAACTTTTTTTTCTACTTTTTCAAATCAGATATCACACGTTTTATTGTCTGCTTTCAAGTCAAGTTCAAGTTGAGCTTTATTGTCATTCTGCTGCATGTGGGGACATACAGTGGAACGAAATGTCGTGCCTCACAGGACCACGGTGTTACATAAATACAGGCATACAACAATGAAGTAAAACAGTAAAAACCTATACAGTAAAGCAGTAAAAACCTATACACAACTAACCTACTGACTGATTTTGATTATAAATATACTATATATATATATATAAATGTTTACCTATACATAAGTTAAAAAAATACAGACTATACGGATGCTTCACATAAACACTGTACCTATACACAGCTAACCTACTGACAGATTTTGACTATGAATATACTATATATAAATGTTTACCTATGCATAAAAAAATTAAAAAAAAGAAAAAAAAGAAACTCTGATGCTCCAGTACCGTCTTCCTGATGGTAGGAGCTGGAAGAGACGTCGTTGTTATTGTTATTATTGCATACTGTTTTATAATGTATGACAATACTGAGGTGCAGATAATTGCCACTATCTGCAATAAGTAGTATAAATAGCAGGAAATCCTGCTAGGTGTAAATAGAATCTATAGCTATTTGTATTTAGTGTAAACATTACGTGTAACAAGGAAATGAATTATATATATTATATATAACTGCCTCCTCATTTTAAAACACCACCGCATGCCACTGCTCTCGCGGTACTTTGATGTCATAAGCCGATCGGTCTGCGCAGCGCCGATGCATCTCGAACGAGCCTAGTGATGCAAAGTCCGGTTCATTTCCGCGAGGTTCAAAATCGTTCAAAATAATCGGTTCCTGACGCAATCAAGTAATGATGTCACTACACATTTCTTTTCTAACAACCCAGTGCCATGTTGTATCAATGAAACATTAAAATAAAGTCATTTGTGTCAACACATATTATACATTAAAATAAAAAAGTTATTTGTGTGAATGCATATTGCTGATTATTGCCTTTCATTCACTTAATGGTGTCAGTGGTCAGTTTCATTCACGGATCCTTTATGTCAGATACGACTGACCAGTATTGACTAGCCTACAACTTGGATAAGATTCCTAAAAGTTTCGCACCTACAGCACACATTACAGACACTGATGTAGAGGTTTGCATTCCCGCGGCTCACCCAACCAGATTTTTTGCGCCACGGGATTAAATTCCCGAATAAAACGCGGTAGCGGTTGGTACACTCTGGTGTAATTTGAACGGGAGCGGGCGGTCTAACAATATCCGGTTCCCGACGTCCATTCAGAACAGCATATCTGCGCTTTATTCTTATTGACCACCGGCACAGCTTGCGCTCAGGACTGTTATGCACGCGCTGCACGCATGCTTTCTGCGTCACGCGTTTGTGCGGTCTGTGCACAGCATGTGCATAAGGATGCTCAGAACAGGCTGTACTGGTGGTAAATATACGGCCCTCAGACAGAACAGGCAGGTTGTCGATGAGTGACAGAGCAGAATAAGGATGGAGCAAAGTGTGGATGCGCTGTCCATGAAGGACGTTCAACTCGGATTTGTTTATATTTTGCTTAGCCTATAATTTTAAATGAGATGTCGTATTTATTTATTTTTCTCTGTGACACTTTTCCTACTGTGTTAACAGAAAAATGTCAAACAAATTTAGTATTTTGAAAAGACGAATAAAAATAGCAAATAGGCTATTTTTGTACAACCTACATTTTTATTTTTTTTCTCTCTGTGACACTTTTTCCTATTGTGTTGTAAATGTTAAACGAATTGTATCCTGACAAGACGAATAAAAATAAGAAATACAATTTTTGCACAACATTTTAATTTTCTCTGACACTTTTCCTACTGTGTTGCATCAAATATTAAACGAATTTTGTGTCTTAAGATAATTCATATAAATTCAAGTCAAAGTCAATAAATTCAAGACTCTTGACAAGACGAATAAAATAACATAGGCCTACAATTTTGTGCAGCCTACACTTTTATTTGTTAGCCTATCTCTTTCAGTAGCAGAAATTTAAATGTGAGATTCTGGAAACGATATCTAAATTTAGCGGGAATGCTAAATTATTCTAAGCGGACAGCGGGTGAACAAAGAGTGAATATATAGTGGGGGCGGGTGGGTGCGGAATATAACCTTGCGGGAGCGGGCAGGAGCAGGACTAAAGAAATAGTCCCGCGCAGATCTCTACACTGATGCACAAACACAGATATGTTCTACATGTCTAAAGTATACAGAAAGAATAAACCAGTCTTATAAAGAGCCTTGTTTTTGCTTAACTTAAAATATAATCTGCATTATTTACATCTCTCGACAGAAAGGGATTTATTTACTAACAGTAGTCATATTTCCAGCGCGTGCCTCAGGCTTGCATAATATCGTCAACTCACTCATCAGAATCCTCAGTAACTCTCGTCAACACTCTGGTTGAACCGGCTCATTTGGTTCTTTTTGAGTCCTTGATAACTCTCGGCAAACTTCGACAGTTGGTTTAACTGGCACAATGGGTTCTTTTTGAGTCGGACATGCTACTTCGGCTGTGCGTCCTGCGTCATCAACCTGGATCTAAAGTTCGATTCATACACTCTAAACAATGCTGGGTTGTTTCATCCCAATGTTGGGTCAAATATGGACTAACCCAACTGCTGGCGTCCTCCCACAGGTTAAGAGATTTTAAACAAACACATTTAGTTAACCAAATGAAACAATACACATTTTAATGCTATAAAAGTGTGCACATTGAGAGAAGTAAACAGCAGATGTTCATGTTAACAACTTCTTTAACTTGAGCAGACCCTGCTAATACACATATACATTTGTTAATAAAACGAAAACATGCATGTTTTAATGCTAGAGAATAAAAGGAAACGATCCACCCGCATGCCTCTGCTCAACGATGGTGCCTGGATCAGTGAGCTGCGTCTCGGGCCGATGACGTCACTTCCAGGGAGGCATGCCCAGGCCTGTTGTACACGCCCCCGTCCCTTGACTCCACCCCCATGTCAAAACAGTGCCAGAAAGCGAGACGCGCAGAAACTTGAAGCGCAAAGGGAAAAACGTATTGCAAGCTCAAACATGACTGAAACGCAAAATAAAAGCAGCGTTGCAAATAAATTAGTAGAGATGGCCATGGAAAATATGTATTGCAAAATTATTGCTTTTGTGCTGTTTCATTTATATTTTGCAATTCTTTATTTTTGTTTGCAAACCTTCTTTTTTTTCTCACAATACTTCATTTTCTTTTGCAATTCTTTATTTTTGTTTGCAAAAAACACTTTTATTTTTTCTCAATACTTTTATTTTGGTTTGCAAAACTTTATTTTCTTTTGCAAAACTTTATTTTTTCTTTTGCAAAACTTTATTTTCTTTTGCAAAGCTTTATTATTTTGCATATATATGTGGCATTATATTGACTCCATGGTTTTTGACAGTTCATTAAATATCAACGGCTAAAAAGTAACTAGTGCTCTGAGTAGTTTTTGAGAAAAGTACTTTGTACTTTTACTTAATTCCTTTTTTAACACCTGTACTTTTACTTGTAATTGAGTATTATTTCAGCAATGTAACAGTACTTGTACTTTAGTACAAACTTTCAGTCTTCTTTCTACCACTACTAATATTTATTTTATTTTATTTCAGCTTTATTTCAGTTAACGAAATCGATTTTTTTTATAGTTTAGTTAACTATGACAACAGTGCATGTAGGTGCAAATTCCATGTAGACTTCATGATTTCAAAGAACAAATGAATTGTTTTTTGGACTGATACGGGGCGACTAAATCAGAATCAATGCTGCATTGCTTCTATACAAAAGCATCTCTGTTGACGGTCTTTTACCTTGCCTTAAACCCTTCAGAATTCTCTTGAATGGTTTGATGGCATTTCAAGAGAAAGTTTTGTTGCTTCCGCTTTTGTTCTTCATTATGAGGAACAGACTAAACTCTTTCATTAGTGGCTGGTGAAGTAGACTCCGGAGGCTGACAGGAGAGAATTCATAGGGGACAAGCTGTAGTGTGTAATTGGGTCCATCCTGTCCATCTGGTCCTTCAGAGAGGTCACTTGAAGTCAAAGTTCTCTAAAGGAATTTACTGTAAAAGTTTTCTTGTTTACTGTTTGTGTCTTTTTGGAAGTATGTTTGCAAGAGTCAGTTATCTTCTTAATTGTATTTTATTTTTTCATTTCATTATTTTATTCTTTCATTCATTTCATTGCCCCTTATACCTTATAGTATTATGAAAGAACCTAAGTGTGTTTTGTTTTTCTTTATCCTAAGTCACACAAACCCACATTGACAACCCTGCTTGAAAAAAACTCAAATAATAATACTTGAATAGGGGCTGTTTAAGAAAACAACACAATCTTGACTTGAGTGACACCATCTCAAGAAAATATGGCAAGGCATTGTGGGTAGTGGTGAGAATTCCTGGCCACCTCTGTCTGATTAAAATGTGATGTGTTGAAAGTTGGCTTTGATCTTAGAAAATGTCTGCGAGGGGAGCAATTGGAATTTAGCTTGGGCTTTTTCCCTCCCGCTCTCTCTGTGATTTGGCCCTGCAGATGGAGGCCGATAGATAGTGTCACCATTCATTTCCTGCTCAAGCTCCTACACCAATCTGTGCAGACACTAGACCTGGAGCAGGGATCCAAAATGAATAGATCACATGCCGAGCTTTTGTGGCTTGTGCAGAGCTCTGTTTACTTCTATGCTTGTCTCTAAATGTATGCATGTGCTTTGGATACATGCACAGTTAACATGACATTTTGCAAATAACCCCAAAGACTTGGAACATCCCACCCCACGGAATGAATGGAAGAATACACCATATGAAAAAGACTCCTAATGTGGTTAAATGCTTTTCTTTGTCTCTGATTCCAGGCCTCCTGCACTGGCGGCCAGCCCGGCATTTTCTGATATCTCCCTCATCCGGATCACGCCACACCGGAACCCTTCAGTGGGGGTGGAGTCACCCTTTAACCCCCCACATCCATACATTAACCCCTACATGGACTATATCCGCTCACTGCACAGCAGTCCCTCTCTGTCTATGATCTCTGCGGCCAGGGGCCTCAGTCCCGCAGATGGTGAGTACCTCAGAGACCTGTTCTGCTCCTGCTAAAATTCTTTTAAATTCTTCTAAATGTCAACCTATTGTGAGCAGAGCAGACAATTCCAAGGATTAACTTCTAAATTTTACACAACACATGTCTTTCAGAAACTGATAATACCTTAAATTAATCTTAAATTCATTAAATCAATCTATCTATCTATCTTTACAGTTTTATCTAACTATCATTCTGTCAATCTATCTGGTGAGGCCCGGGATATGGCATTCGTATATCCCTCATCTTATCCCTCATCTGTCTGTGACGCTTCTCTCTGGAGGGGGGAGAACATATTTTGATCGTTTGGCTGGGGTCACTCTCTTTGATCTTTGTCTCATGTCAGCAAACCTCTGGAGGAACATTCAACGTGTCAGGCAGAATCTAATGATCACATCCTAAGTTAAGATGGGGATGAAGTTCAAGGCCATGGTTGAGGGCGGAGGGCACGATAAAGGAGGGAAGGATGAGTAGTGGGAATGGTTTAGAAGATGGACTCCAGAGGCCTGCCAGGAAGCCATTTTGGTTTTATGTGTGAAGTCAGACTGGGAAATCCATTACAGGGTAATTACAGGCCTGCTGTTTTTAAAGAGGCTCTGCAGTATGCTGGCCTCTTGGCCTTCTCCTCAGGCATGGAGTTTTAATTGAAGCCTGAAGCACAAATACCAAAGTGGGGCAATCAGAGGGGCCTCTCACAGGCCACAGATAATCATGACTGTATCGAACTGTGGTGCTATCTAACATCAGCCAGGTTTTACTATCTACCATGTGTCAAAGGAAGACATGAAGCATTACCATATAGTTATTAACTATTCCCAGATAAGAACCCCTATACGGGCTAAATTAAACTTGCTGATGCAGTTTGGTTTGATGTGACCTTTTGGTGTTCTTGGTAAAAAGCCATTTGTTGAGTAAAATAAATCAGATTGTACAAATATTTAAATTGCATATAAGTAAGTTTTTATGCTAACTCTTTAATAACAGAATTATGTTTCTACTCCAGTTTGTTGTATTTGAATGTAAACATTCAAATGGTGTCTGTAATAAAAACTTGTTTTCATGACAGATTTATTAAAACATACATTAATGGAGAAAACGTTAATCAAAAAAAAAATATATATATATACATATATATATGACGAGTGCTGTAGTTAATCACAGTGTGCCGATATACAGCCATATCGCACGGCTACGAGTGTGATATTGTGTTTATACAACAGTTTGACGGCACACGAGTGTGTAAATACATAAGAAACAAAAACGGAGTGTCTTTACAACCCCTTTTTTCTGCAAACTACTTCCTTCCGCCATGGATTCAAATCTCAAATTGACAGTTTAACAGCTAAACCCAAGCCTCCGTTACTAATTCGAAAACATCACTTTAGAACTAGTAACAAAGGAACGTTGAGTTGTTTCATTGAAAGCTTATTGTATTAGAAGCCGATCATACAAAACGTGTATTTTAGTTTTGAAAACGCAAGGAGCTGCCATTTTTTGGCTTTTTTTTTTTTTTTTGGATGCCAT